GTCAGGATGGCAAGGTGTATGATGCACGCGTGGATCTGCTTTGTACTGAATCTGTAAACAGAAAATGTGAAAAAATAAAATACCAGGGGCATGGATCGAACCCCTGCCCTGGTACACCAATGCCTTTGCGCGCTTCACTCTATCATTGGGACAGTCGTTTCATCCGATAATATAAATACAAATAATTAAATATATAATAAAAACAAATTAAATTTTATATTTTAAAACAAAAGTCAAAATAGGTGGACCCCTGTATCTAGTATTAACCAATCAACATTGGAGAGAGGATGCCAGGATTTTTGATTGGCCAATTGGATTTGAATCTTCCACGCCTGTATTCAGCCAGTCCACGCCACCGTGAGTGGCTGAAACAACCGTCTTCTCCGACATGTTATTTTTGAAATCTGCGAAAATGAAAGATTTGTGGCAAACCAAGAGGTCTTCCCTACACAAAATTGTGCCCTGAGTTCAAATTTGGGCTTAAAACAAACAAACAAATATTGTATCATGTGATTCGAACATGAATTCAAATCGTGCCCTAACAATGGCACACCTTTGTTTTTGCATCAAACCCTACATGTGATTCGTTAGATCTATTCCAAACATCAACAACAATAAGAATGCATGCATAAAATTGATTTAAATCACACGATTTGAGAGTTTGAAACCATGAAAATTTACCAAATGGAGTTACTGTGATATGCTTGATTCAGGCGTTGACAAGCTTAGCTATAGTCTTAGATCGACTCCTGGGAACTTCAGGAGTTGATTGCTGTCTTTTGTTTGGATTCAAAATGGCTGGGGATGTCAGATACGATTTGCTTGGTTTCTTTGGGAATTTTATGAATAACACCTTAGTTTGGAGGCAGTTGCGTGTGTGTGTGTGTTTGATTTGAGTGTTATACATATATAGAGCATGGATTTATGGTAGCAAAAGTAGTATGATATCATGTGTAATCAAGTGTATGGATTGTTTCCAAAATCCATTCAAAAACTTTCCAAAAGTGAAGATTTCCTTCCCCTCTTGGTCCACACGATTTGGACAGCTTGTCATGAGCTATTTTGGTTTCAAAAAGATTCATATTTTTATATCTTAAATATTTCTTACATTTATTTTGTGTTTATTTAAATTAATTTTGATTTTAAATAAATAAAAATCAAAATAAATAAAATAAAAACTAAAAATAATTCATGGATACACTTAGGGGTCCTTAAACATGTCATGAACACGTTTAAATTCCAAAGCTTAGGCACAATATCCCAAAATCACAAATTTGCTCAATTGAGATTTCATGCATTTCTAAAAAATTCCCCAACTTGTGCAACTCATAACTTGCTCAATTTTCATCTTTTAAAGGGTGATCTTGGACTTTTTGGAAATCTCAAGATGTCTTCTTCAGTTTCTCTTTTTGTTATTTTTGCATTTGGAGAATTTATCTTGATGTAAGTTTCCTTGACAAAAAGTGTATTTTCATATCTTTCAAATGAAGCACTTTTTGGACTTGAGCATACATATACAAAGTTGTAGAGAATTGAATTTCCTTCAAAATGGGATTTGGTTGGGGAAAAGTTGATGAAGCAGGTGAAAGTTATGATTGGTCAAAGTTCAGTTGACTTCTCCTAAGGAAACCCTAATTTGGCAATTTTTGACCTTTGATGATTTGAGGGCTTTCCTTGAGGAATCATGATCAACCCTTGATCAAATGATGAATATCACTTCAAAATATTGATGTTGACCAAAAATCTTGAAGTTTGACTGTAAGTTTACCATGGTTGACTTTTTACCCAATATAGTTGACTTTCAATCATCTGAGTCATTGACTGAGCAAGCTTGTGATGTATGACTTGAAACATGACATGAGCATAATTGAAGACCTCTGAAGAACCATATAAATCACTTGAGAACCTTGGATCCCAATCTTCCTTGTGTAAGATGAAACCCTAGTTGTGGATCCATTGCTTAGGAGAAGGTTTAACCAGTCAACTCTTGAGTAGCTTTGATTGCTTGAGGCCTTTAGAAGAATGTTTTGAAGAAGAATTGGAGGGCAAATTTTTGGGTACAATTGCGTGGTTATAAAAACAGGAGTAAAAACATGAGGAATAGAATGTAGAAGTGAGAAGAGAAGAACGAAGAGAATATAAGAGCATACAAGCTGGAGCAAGGAATCTCCGGTAGAGGGCTTAGAATTATCAAACCTAAGGTAAGGGCGGGGTTCTGACTCTCCAATAGGTGGTTTAATGATAATGATATTAATGTTAGGTTTTTGGGGTAAATTGTTATGAAATTGATTGTTGTAATTGCTTATGAATGATGAGATTGATGCGTTAATTGTGTTGGAAATATGGTATATGATGTGTGTTGATGATTTAAAATAATTGACGTGTTTGATCTTTCATGAAAAGTGGTTTTTGGATGAAGAGGATGAAATTTCGTAGCAGAAAATTCAGGTTTTTGGGTCTGTTCGCGATGGGTAATCGGTTACCATATCTGGGTAATCGGTTACCGCTGTTTGTGTTTTTAAACATTTGGCTACTGACTTGCAGTAACCAGTTACTGTAACTGGTTACCACGTGGAATTTTGGAAAAGCAAGGTTATTGTCTTGCAGTACCGGTTACCATAACTGGGTAACCGATTACCGCTGAAGCTGGTAGGATTTTTGGAAACTTTGAAAAATCATAACTTTCGCCTCGGGTGTCTGTTTGATGCACCGTTTGAACCGTTGAAAATCTAAGAACATTTTCTATAATATGAAATTAATCTTTCTAACATTGGTCTAATATTTTATCGAAACTATTGCGATGAATGTGTATGTTGGGTGAGTTATTGCACCAAAATGTCGTGATAAGCTGTGTCTTGTAATACCCGTGATGTGCAAACAATTTATAGGTGATGTTGTCGTAATAAGAAGGTGAAGTTGGCCTGAAAATTGGCTTGATGTGATCGTATGCTTGGAATTACATAATTTTGGTTGTAGCGTGTTGCATTTCATGCATCGTTGAGGGCTTATGCCCTGGCCTGTATTGGCAATCATTGAGGGCTTATGCCCTGGCCTTTATAGAAAATGTTGAAGGCTTATGTCTTGGCCTATATTGGCAATCATTGAGGGCTTATGTAATGACCTATATGGAAATTTGTTGAGGGCTTATGCCCTGATGATACCACATGCATCTTGCATCAGAGTCAATTGCACTGCATTTGTTGAATTATTGAATTATTGAATTATTGAATTGTGAACTTGTTGAAATGGTGTGATTAATAATTTTCGAACTTGAATTCCTACATGATATACGTGTTGTTTACTCATAATTATACTACTTATTATACTATCATGATATCTTACCCCTTACTGTTTGAATGTTGTCTCTATGTGGGTAATGTGCAGATAACCAAGAGTAGTTCAAAGTCGCAGAGTCTAGAAGAGGTTGCTCATTTTGTTTTGAGTGGGTGTCCTATCTTTGATATGTAACACCGGGGGATGAACACTCGACTATTTTATTTTAGTTGATGTCTTCTTTGAGGATTTTGGAAGTGTTATAGAGTCTCTTTTAATTGATTAAATTGATGATTTTCTTAATGGTTGAAGATTTTAAAATAATTATGAAATTCTTTCCGCTATGTTAATAAAGTTGAAGTTTGAAGACTATGTTGAAATATTGTCGGTTCATCCGAAATGTGTGTATGTATCTGTTTTATCTTAATTGAGCAAATTTGAACATGTTGAATGATGTGCCATCCTATTTTGGAGTTTTGTTTTACTCTGATTTTTATTAAAATTACGGTTGGGGAAATAAGGTGTTACATCATACCTTCCAGTCTGTTAAGCTCACGTTTGTCTCCAAGGATATCAGCAAAATCTTTGAAATAATAACTTTTTGGAGGGATGTTTTGAACATCCATAGCTCTCAAAGTCGTACCACCAAGGAATACGAATTTCTTTGAATGATCACAAAGTTTCCACTAAAAATCATTATCATAAACCGAACGTTGTTGATTATGCAGGTTATATTCTCTTGAATTCGTTCTTTCTATTTAGGTGTATGATCAGCACATATCAAAGCTTGTATCCTATCACCCTAAAACACATTTGAAAAGAAGTAGATTTTTTAAGATGTTCAAAGTACATAAATCATTATTCATATGAAGGGTTTGAAAATATATTACCACTGCATCCATTAAAACTATCTCCATATGCTCAGCTCCCATACTTTTAATAACGATCCATTCAATGATTCGAACCGCCAATCTCTAAGTTTCCTTTGTGTCGTTAATGTTCTTGATACAATCAATCTTTTGACTCATTTTCTAGTTACAATCCAACATCAAGACGTTAAAACAAAACACTGAATAAACAGAACAGAGGAATATAACGAAGGAAAAAGAAGCATGTCAAAACCGGGTTTGTGGATGATGGTGGGAGACGAAAGAGATAGCATAACAGAGAGAAGATGTGACATAAGAGATGAAAGAGATGAATATAATGATTAAAATTTGTTTCAAATAAATAATAGATGAATAGAGAAGAATAGATTGTGTTTCTACGTTAGAATGAAAAAGAATTTACATTGGAAATGTAAAACAAATGTTCGGAAGACAATACGGCACATCCAATGCAAAAACTATTTGTTTTGGATGCCAAAAATTAATAATTTTTTAAATTAAGGTATTTGATAAGTTGAGTTAGGAGATTAAAATAATTATACTAATGTATAACTTTATTATATTAAAAGTAGACATGCATATAAGCATGATTACTACTAGTATCTTATTATTTTATGCATAAAAAATAAATACACACAAAAATGCAATAATGATACAACGAAATAGACCGTTATTATTAAGTTACGGTTACACTTGCACTCCTTTTCCTTTCCCATAATTAAATAGACCAATGAACACATTTCATATTTCTAATCTTCCCAATAAAAAGAATCCTCTTTTCAAATTCTCTCTTAAATTTACACAGTTACAATTCTTCCATTTTCCCATCGAAACATAACAATGGGCTGTAATATTTCAAAGCTTGAAAGACTCCCAGCAGTGTCTTTGTGCCGTGACCGTTCTACATTGATAGATGAATCACTCCATCAAAGCTATGCTCTTGCGGATGCACATGTCGCACACATGGAATCCCTCCGAACACTTGGCCCAGCTCTCCTCACTTTCTTCCATGATTATGGCGAAAACAATGCTTCCCTCTCGAAAATATCATCTCCATTGAGTTCACTTTTTTCTTCTGATTCTGAATCAGAAACAGATGAATTAGAAAGAGAATCACAATTATGCACTCACCATAACACCGTGACTTTCATGAACTACATAAAACCTATTTATGATTCCTATTCTCCACCTCCTCCGAGTAACTCTGCTTGGGATTTCTTAAACTTCTTTGAACCTTATGACAAGTATCAAGTGCCTTTCTATAACGGTTACAATGATACTGACATAACGATTGAGAAAAGTGAGTGTTTTAAATCCAAAGGTGGAGGAGATAAAGCTATTATTAAGCGAGAAAAACATAAGGAAACCAAATTGAAAGAGGAGTTAGAAGAATGTAACGACTTTTCTAAAGGGATTTCTGAAGCTGTGAAAGAGATTCAGATTCTATTTGAGAGAGCTTCCAATTCGGGGAACAATATTTACGACATGCTAGACGTTGGAAAACTCCGTTACCATTCAAAAACTGAACGCGGTATAGGTAATCGTGGTTGAGTGTTTTTACATTATCTTTATGATTAATTGGTAAAAATAATTAATTAAATGAGATATTTGAGAACAGTGTCGTGGAAGATTATGCAACTGATGAATAAATGTATGGAGGGTTCATTGCTTGGAGTTTGTGAACAAGACAAGGGCCTTAGCCATGGAAATCTATGCTCCTCTTTGAGTAAACTGTGTATGTGGGAGAAGAAGCTTTATCATGAAGTGAAGGTACAATTTTTACTCTATTTTTCTCTTCTTGTGTATTAATTAAGTGATAGAATATCAGTTTAAAGTTTTAGGACACAAAATAAATTGAGGTCACTTTTGATTTTTCAGGCTGAGGAAAAAATGCGCACACTTCATGAAAAGAAGTATAAGCAGTTGAAATATATGATTGAAAAGGAAGCAGAGGCACAGAAAATTGATTCTGTCGAAGCTTTCATCGATATTTTAGTTAGGAACATGAAAATTTCTATGCAAGTAGTTGACAAGATATCTATTACTATCACTAAGTTGACAGAAGAAGAGCTATGGCCACAAATCAACATGTTTATTCTCATGTAATTCATGACTAAACATAAATGCACTTTATAAATTGTTTTAACCTCTATTTTTTTCTTGCTTTAAATCTAACAGATTGTTATATTCTTTTTGTGATAAAAGGTTTCTGAGAATGTGGAAAGATATGCAACAATGTTACAAACTTCAGTGTAAAAAAATCGTTGAAACAAAAGCTTTAGATGTCTCCGCATTCAACAGAAAACCTTGCAATGCTAATATTGAAGTAGCTATACAGCTCAAATCTGAGTTTCAGAAATGGATTTTAACCTTCTTAGATTGGACTAAAGCTCAGAAGTCTCTTGTGAAAGCTCTGAATGATTGGTTAGTAAGATGTCTAATGTATAAACCTGAAGAATTACTTGATGATTCAATTCCAGTTGATGCACCACATGTGTTTGTGAAATGTAACAAGTGGTCAAGGGCAATGGATAATATCTCAGAAAAGAATGTTATTCAAGCTATGAATGGATTCATACTCAGAGTAAATGAACCATTGGAAAAGCATATTTTGAAGCTTCAGAAGAATTCAACATTGGACAAGGAATTAGAGAGAAAAGTGAAAGTTGTGGAGAGGCAAGGGCAAAAGATGAAGAGAAAAGTGAAATTTATAGACAGGCAAGAGCAAAAGAAAAAGATGATTTCAATTGCAAAAGCACTTAAAGAAGAGACCAATGTTATGTTGCAAGGAGATGTTGTGAATAATAATGATGATATAGTTGATTCTACCGGGTTGCAATCAAGTTTGAAACAGATCTTTGTTGCGATGGAGAAGTTCAGTGCAACAAATGTTAACTTATATGAAGAACTTTGGCAACAAATTAAGCAAGATGATCATGTTTTAGGAGAATCCAACAAAAATCACTAGTTTTACAGATATCTCAATGTTATTATTTATTTTTTGGAAATGAAGTATAATATAAAGTCATTTAAGCCAAATTTATATTGTTAAGATTATGATAAATTGAAGAAAACTGTTTTTAGATGAGCCCCATTACCTATCCTGCATCATTAACTTACAATAGATTGTCATCAGAGAGGTGAATGATTAGTGGAAAAACTTCTGTATTCGATTCTCACAGAGTGATATTTTCTGCATTTCCAGTATTCAAGAAGATCCTTATCGGCTTTGCCAAGATACTTTTTATCGGCTTTGCACAATTCATGCGTCTCCAAAGAAATTTTCAATTCTTTAAGAGTCATGATTTAATTATTTCTCGTTTCTTTGATCTCAAAATTTTTTCAGAAGTATGTTATTAGGTGGAATCTTCTCCATTTTGAGCCATGAAAATGGTGATATCACACATCTTGATGAAGAAACCAACCACCTTTTTTTATCATTTATCTGAAGCAATTCACATTTCCTTCTCACCAAATTGAAGTCTTATTTTCTCCAATCTTCTCACCACCAGTATACGTAATACTTGAGGTATCCCAAGTTTGTTTGGATCTGCCAGTAGTAGAAATTTTATCAAATTTTGCCCCATCTACACTTCGATGGATTAAAGACAATACACTTCGATGGATTAAAACAATGCTTTAAAATATTTCTTGTTTTCATTTTATGTCGCTCTCTGGGCATCATTTGGATCAGCATCAATTTTATAATACTCATTATTTATGATCTTCGTCATTTCTTGAAAACCCATTAACACCTCTATCCAAAATTTTGGAGGAATTGTGCAAGAAAATTAGCCATTGCAACTCATCTTACACCCTCATTTTCATTACTGTTTTGCTCAAATGGAACCAAGAATCACTAATACATACTAACAATTGATGATGGATATACACACAAAAAGAGAATTCAAAATATTCTCAAATATAAATGCTGAATTTAAACAAAAAATAGATTTAAAACTAAAAAATAACATAATTGCTGAGACTATTAACATATAGCACATTTATACAAAGGCTAAGTGTATGTGATACTAACTCCTTACTCCCATATCAGAAATTGAATTACACTTTTAATATTAACAAGAACTACAATTTAAAATATTTATCTTCTCTCCTCTATTTCTCCTTAAACCAAAAATGAGTATGTTATCATAGTCAATACCACCAGCGACGGCAAAAGAACCTTTCTTTTGCATAAGCTTTATGTGCACATTTTTTATCTGAATTTGATAAAAATATAAATTGATTCTTACAGTTTACAGTATACATGTTTCAGTGTCTTATAGTACAAACATTGTTGTGTGTTACGTGTAACATTATTATGAAACATACAATTCAGCTTTTCCATCAATAAATAGACTCATGAACTCTTCACCATCAACTGTTTCTTTCTCTATGAGAAGTTGAGCAAGCTTGTGAAGAATGTCAATGTGAGTGTTAACAATTTCTGATGCCCTCACATATGCTTTCTCTACAAGTTCTCTAACTTCCTTATCCACTATATCAGCTGTTGCCATGGAATAATCTTTTTGTGATGACATCTGCAATCACAATTTTTGTGAGGAAATTTATTGAGAGGTTCAATTTCCTGAGAAAAATAGTCAAACAAAAGTGATACTACTAATATCCTCATCAACCTATGTTAAATCGTGGCTTACCTGTTGTCCCAAGAATGGGTTTCCACCACCTCCGCCAATGGCAACTTGTCCGATTTTTTTGCTGAACCCAAATCTCTCAACCATTTGTCTCGCCACTCGGGAAACTTGCTGGAAATCATTTGATGCCCCAGTGGTGACATTTTCCTGGCCAAAAATAACCTCTTCTGCAACCCTGTTTAGCCATACACATAGATATAAGGAATTTGCTGCATAATATTTACAGGCCCAAAGCTAAAGATAATAAGGCCCTAAATTTCAAGTTCATACTATGACTAAAACCATGCCCCTTAAAAATGTGCAACGGTTAAGTAAAACAAGTAAATCAGTATTTTTAGTCCTTGATATTGAAAATCTCAATCAATATAGTCCCTTAAATTTATGAAAAAGTAATTTAGCTCCTTAAATTTGACAATATCAGTCACCTTAGTCCGTTTTTCTAAACCTAGCATCACAATTTTAAAGCTTTGGTTTATCTCTTGATGCAACAAGAGACTATTCAAGACAATTTGCAAGTCTTCTATTGATTTTGATGAATGTTAACTAGATATACTTTAATTGATGGACTAAATTGATTGATGTTCTTATTTCAGGGCTAATTGGCTACTCTGTAAGTTTGGGGACTATATTGATGGACCATTACAATTTCGAGGGCCGAAATACTGATTAACTCGTAAAACAGTAGTTCTTATATATCCCAATTGGCAGGTGGTATGTAATTGTGATGTGAGAGTAACTTGCACGTTGCAACAATCAAGATCTAACTTCAAATAAGGTAAAGTAAAGTGCGCATTTCTGTGTATTGCATGGTGTTACACTGACCTTCCTCCAAGAGCAACTGCCATCTGATTTTCCAAGTAGCTTCGACTGTACAATCCAGACTCGAGCCTCTCTTCGCTGGGAGCAAAAAAGGTGAGACCACCAGCTTGGCCACGAGGTATAATGGAAATCTTGGCTACAGGGTCATATTCGGGCATCAAAGCGCCAACTAAAGCATGGCCAGCCTCTGAAAATCATCAAGGAAGAAGCATGGTGATTAAGGATCCAAAAATCAACTAAAACCTGCCAAGCTTGGATACTAGACATACTAAAAGAGAAAAAAAACATACCATGATAGGCTACTAATTTCTTCTTCTCTTCTGAGACAACAGCATTTTTCTTTTCTGGTCCAGCAATGATCCTTTCAAGCGCATCAGAAATCTCATCTTTACTTATTTCCTTGAGGTCGCGCCTGGCTGCAAGAATAGCAGCTTCATTCATCAGATTTTGCAGATCAGCCCCTGTGAACCCTGGGGTTCTCCTGGCAATTTTATCAAAGTCAACATCCTTTGCAAGTGCTTTTCCTCTAGAATGCACCTGACAGAGATGAATAATCAAGAATAATTTAGACACAGAGTAGCACTTAGCTTAATCAATTTAACCACCTCCAAACAAAACTGTATTAATTCAAGGTTTTCCTTGCCACAATATTTCAAAAACTAGACAAAAAGAGCATCAAGAATTTTTTTAACTCCACCAACCCAATTAGGCTTTCAATAATACAAAAAGGGCATTAAGAAATAGACTGAAACTCAATTTAAATTAACTTCTAATCTACAGAAGTACTAACTGTGTGCACACATTCCTCCTTTTTAAATTTGTGTCAATATGGGCAGCGACTTCGAGGTTTTTGATATATACACTATTAAACAGCAAAATCTTGGCATTAAACAGCGATTTCATTTCATGCAATTCTAGTGAAATTTAAATTACTGGCATTGACAACAAAACAAGAGACACGGTAGGATCATTATTTGCTTTTTTGTTTAAAAATGGGTCCTAATAAATAAATTTTCAATACCAGATACCCAGTTAAATTATGAATATTCAAAAAGAGCATTTAGACTCAATTTGAATCAAATTGCAATCTAAATCTGTACTAAGTACTAACTGTATGCACATGTTCTCAGCTATTAGCTGCCACCAGCGAAATAAACGTCGAGGTGTATCAATTAATAGGGGTTTCAAAAAAAGGCTTGTAATTGGAAATTGGGCCATGACATTATAATTTTAGATATATCCACAACCACATTTGAGACTTATGTGAGGTAGCATAAGCCCCATTTAACTACAATTTTAAGCATTGTGTGTGGCCCTAGTGCAAATTAAAACATTGGTGTTGACAACAAAACAAGACACACATTAGGATCATCATGTACTTTGGCTTTAAAAAAGTCCTTATATAAACAAATTGATTATGAGAGAGTATTCACCTGAAGGATTTTAACTCTACCGGCAACATCGGGTCTATCCACGGTAACTTGCCTATCAAACCTTCCAGGTCTAAGCAATGCAGAATCAAGAACATCGGGTCTATTCGTAGCAGCCAAAACAATAACACCTGAATTACCAGAAAATCCATCCATCTCAGTCAAAAGCTGATTAATAGTCTGCTCCCGCTCATCATTCCCGCCACCCATTCCAGCTCCTCTCTGTCTCCCAACCGCATCAATCTCATCAATGAACACAATGCAAGGTGCCTTGGACTTTGCCTTCTCAAACAAATCTCTAACCCTAGAAGCACCAACTCCCACAAACAATTCCACGAACTCCGAAGCCGCACACGAAAAGAACGGCGTACCAGCTTCCCCCGCTACGGCCCTCGCCAATAGCGTCTTCCCAGTTCCCGGTGGACCCACCAAAAGACACCCTTTAGGAATCTTAGCCCCCAAAGCAGTATACTTATCTGGATTCTTCAAGAAATCAACAACTTCTTGTAATTCAAGCTTAGCCTGATCAGCACCAGCCACATCAGCAAAAGTCACTCCAGTTTCCGGCACCTCTTGGAATTTCGATTTGGATCTACCAAAATCCATGGGCCCGCCAAGCCCACCAAGCCCACCAGGCCCACCAGGTCCTCCTTGACCACGCCGGAAAATCAAGAACAAACCCGCAAAAGCAAGGAACGGCAACAACAGACTACCAACAAAATTGAACAAACCATTCCCTTGTTCACCTTCAGAAACAGAAATATCAACACCATTCATAGCCAAAATATCAATAAGGTCAGGGTCATTAGGAACGATAACGTTTGCTCTCCGTCCATCAACGGCGGTTAATTGAAGAACAGCACCGTCTTTGCTAAACCTAACTCTCTCGACCTTTCCCTTCTTGACAGCATTCAGAAACTCGCTGTAACGCCACTGGCTACCGTCGGGGAGATCGGAGGAAGATTGCGATTGAGGCGTTGGTGCTGGGACGGAAATGTTTACAGAGAACGGTGAAGATGAGTTTGTAGGGTTGAACTGACTTACTTGTGCTTTGAGTGCCGGTA